ATGTGTTTGTACACACACAAACACACACATAGCCCCCTGGCATCTTTGAATCTCCAAAGACAGTTGCTTCATAGATGATATAAATTGGGATTTTGAGGCTCAGCCTCTGTAATGATTGGAAGGTTGGGGCTCAAATAGAAGAAGAGTTTTCTTATCCCTTTGCCCAGGCGTGTGTCCGGAGACAGCATTGGCCCATTTCAGGCAATTGGTGTGTGTGTTTGGGGAGCAGTGAGCAGGTGGTCACTACAGACTCCTGGGCACAGCTCAGGGGCAGATGCCTAAATCCCACCATCTGAGAGTCATTCCCCGTTGCAGGGGGAATGGAATGTTCTGGAACATTTCATCCACCAAGTCATGTCATTTATTAGGCAAAACCCTCCTATACAGGACAAAAAGGTAGCAAAGACATATGCGGTAGCTTTAGCACTTTCATATTTTTACTGAGATCTATTTGGCTACAACTGTTATTTTAATGTCAAGTACAATTTGAGGAAGTGCAATGTTTTATACTAGTATTAGAGGAGTACTGGGACTTTCCTACTTCTTAAACTGTGATAGCACTGAATATTTATAATAAAATTTTCACCTTCTTTGAAAAAATATTTATGTAAGTAATTTGCATTAAAAATAGATAGAAAATACAGAAAAATAAAAAGATAGAAAAAAAGGAATAAACGTACCCTGTAACCTCACTTCCCAAAGATAATGATCAAAGGTTTGAGAGTACATTTTCATTACTTTCTTTTGAGCACACATTCACATAAATATGAAGGATCTGTAATAAAATGGAAATGTTAGAAGAGCATCTCTGATGAGTTCTTGCTGAATAAACAAGAGTCTGATAAGTGGATGCAGATGGAATAAAACTGAGGAAAGTCCAAGGAGAGGCCAACTCAAAAGGCCTAAAGCATTTCAATTTCAACTCACGAGCTTTGGGGGAAAAACAGTCAAGCAAATCCACCGTAAATCCTATTATTGAACAAACACAGGGCTCCTTCATATAAGCAGTCAGAAAACAAAATCACCAAGTATGTGAACAAATCCAATAGTCCAAAAGAAGAGTCTGTTCTGAGGAATTGGAAGAAACACCTCCCAACGCAACACACATGCGAAATGGAAAAAAACTTTTAAGCAAAGTTCCTAAGATCTATTTTCAGTGGGATTTGAGAGGTAACCGCATGTATGAAAAGATCTCATCGTGGAAGATTGCAGTTTAATTTGAAATACAATTCCAAAGGCAAATTAAAAAGTGCAATACCCCCTAGTAAACAAATGGATCTGAGAATTGAGCAACAATGACTGTAAACGTCACGAAAAGGGACAGACACCACATGCAGCTTGACGGAAGGACACACAGCCACTTAGAAAGTGGTACTTCCCCCACCCCAGATTCCGACAAAGGGATGTGTTTAAGGGGAGGCACTCAGCATCTCTTGTAGGAAAGTGCAGGACAAATGGTTCAACATGCTGCAAGGGAGACAGAGAGAGACAGAGATTTATCAACCGAGACCAATGGCGAAGCGTGGACATTATGCGGATCCTATTTCAAACATTTATGAGACAATTGGAAATTTGAACATTGACTAGATATTTGATATTATTAAATAAACGTTAATTTTTAAAGATATAATTGTTTTTTAAACTCTCTTTTCGTGGTAACTATTGAAATATTTATAGGTGAAGTGAGATGTCTGAGATTTGATCAAAACAATGGAGGAAGGAAAGTTGAGGGGTGTTGAAGAAACGAGGTTGCTTGAAGTCAATATTTGCTAAGCTGGGTGATGTGCACATGGGGGACTATTACGTTATTCTCTCTACTTTCCTGTCTGTTTGAAAATTACTAAAATAAATTGTTTAAAAATTGCACTAGAAGACACGAGTGAGAGGTTAGGTATTCTAGAAAACCCAGTCAGTGACTTAGATCATTGCTCAGGAAATTCTCCCAGAACTTAGAGGAAACGGAAAAACACAGTATGAGTGAAACTCTGTACAACTTAGAGGAGAAAAAAAAAACTTAAGACCTGGGAGATGCAGTGTGAACGTAAAATCCAAATTCCAGAGGGAGGTGTGAACAGCACCAACAGGGGACAAGCAATAAACTTCATTAAAGAACATTTCCACTATTGGTTTCTTCTTTAACCGGTGAGTTATTTAGCAATGTTGTGTACATCCAAATACAGAGATTTTTCAATTTTCTTTTTTATTAACTTCCAACTTAATTGTGTATAGTCGGGGAAAATGTTCCATACAATACCTATTTCTGAAACTTTTTTGAGACTTGCTTTAATGTCTAGAACAAGAACAGCTTTTAGAAACATCCCTGAGTGCTTGCGAAGAACCTGTATTCTCTAGTTGTTGGATGCAGAGCTCTAAATATGCCCTTTGGTCGCTTCCAAACCTTGCTTAGTTTTTGCCTGCCTGACTTCTCAAAAGGAAGTGTTGGAATCTCCCACCGGCAGGTGGACTTATCAATGTCTTCCTATAGTTCCACCCATTTATACTGCATGGATTTTGAGGCTGCTTAGGCGCGTGTGTTTGAAACTGACTCCTCTTCGTAAACTGAACCTTTCTACCATGACATCATGAACCTCCCTATCCTTAACAATGCTTTTAGTCTTAGGATTCATTTTGTTTGAAAATAATATAATAGATGGTTAGTATTTGTCCCATGTGACTTTCCCCCATCTTTTACTTTCAATTTCGCATGTCCTTATGTAAACCAGTCTCTTCTAAACCATGCTTCTAAACTATCTGTGAAGTTTCAATTGTTTTTCCCAACCCATCACAGACTAAGACTTTTGTAAAATATTTTTAAAAACTAATAAAATTCTGGAATTAAAGACACGCAAAGTATAAGCCATATAGTTCAGTATTAAATTCAATACTCAGGAAACGACTGTCAGCTTAGAAACTTTTATAAACTTTCTAAGATGCTATCAACTTCTAAAGATACCTTGTTGCATCCTTCAACAATCACAGCTGTACCTTTGAACACCAGTATTGTAAACAGCATATATCAGGGGTTTGTTCTGCTATCTGGCCTAACAGTCTACCTTTTAATTGGCAAGTTTAGTCCATTTACAGTTATTGGTACATTTTGGCCTATTTCTCTCACCTCTGTATATCCCCTCTTTCCCCATCGTCAAGTTGATATGGCCTCGGATTATAACTTGAGATCACTATAGATATGTTTTTTCTTTCCTTTGGTCCTTACTAATTTTTAATGATCAGGTGTTAGACTGTTTGTGTTCCCCAAAATTCATAGGTTGAAACCCCAAAGTGATGGTGTTAGGAGGTGGAGCCTTTGGGAAGTGATCAGTTCATGAGGGTGGAGCTCCCATGAATAGATCAGTGCCTCATAAAAGAGGCCCCCAAAAGACCGATCTTTTGCCCCATCCATCATGTGAAGACAACAGCAAGAAGATGGCCATCTAGGAACCAGGAGGCAGGTCCCCACCAGACACTGAATCTGCCAGTGCCTTGACTTCCTGCCTCCCAAACTGTGAGAAATGTTTGCAGTTTCTAAGCCACCCAATCTAAGGTTTTCTGTGATAGCAGCCAGAACAGACCAAGACACCAGGTTTACCAAGGTACTTATTGCTCATCTTTCCCTCAGTTTTCTCCTGCAGCATTTCCTAGGTTTGTTTCTCTTCATATTTAAGTACTTCATCCGCAGTATTTAAATGGGGGCCTTTGAGTGGCTAGATGTAAGATTCTAAGTTCAACAAGTTTTTTTCCTTTAGTCCTTAAGAATGTTAACTCCACAAACAGGGTAGGTTGTTGCTGGAAAACCTGACGTCCACAATCCCAGCTCTAGGCTTTGCTTCTGCTCATTTTCTCTGGAAGCTTTCAGAGTGGTCTGTTTTTGTTAATCTTAAATTTTACTACCCAGTAGTGAAGATGAACTACATTACAGATATGTGCCAACATGAAAGAATCTCACAACAGTGAGTGAAACGTGCCAATACACACACTCATTCCTTTTATGTGGTGTTCAAAACCAGGCTAAACTAAAACTAAATAGTAAATTGTTTAGGGATGCCTATGTATGGCAAAATTGTGAAGAAAAGTGAGGAAAGAATAAATCCAAAAGCCAGGTAGTGGTTCTCTTGCCGAGGGACGGGGATGCACCAGAAGAGGCCCATGGGGTGGATGAGGGGGTTTGAAGTATTCGTAACGATTTGTCCCAGCTGGGGGTGGGAACGTGGGGATTCTATTATTTTTTTAACACTTACACATATTTTTCACATGTATATAATGCAAGGGAAAACATTTCACCTTGTGACTGGTTGGCCAGCAGCGGCTCTTGGGTCAGGACACTGAGCAGAGCAGGCAGCAGGCTGCACACCCTATGGGAGCAGCTGTGGGGGTCACTGACGGCCAAAACTGACAGAGATGAACCAGGGACGGAGACAGAAATGGGGGGCTCTACGGTTGCTCTCAATTAAGAAACATACCTAAGCCCCTCTGGACTCAGCGTCGTACCCCGGTGGGGAGCCACGCCTCTGACCGAAGGAGCTGTCACCCGCTGGTCTGAGGCTCGGCTCTGAGCCCTTCCCGGCACCCACATCTGGGGAGTTCCTGCCCCAGTCTATACGCCGTCGGCCGGAGGGACCGAGGCTGCTCTGGAAGCCTTTGATTCCACGGTGTGGACAGTCGGCCTTTCTGGTCACCAGTCTCTAAGAGGTCTCCAGTTTCCAGATGACCCACTAAGAGACTCGTCATTTCACCCCAAAGTCCAGCACGAGCACATGCTCTAACCGAGGTCTCACTACCCACTCAGGCAGCCTCCCAAGGAGCTGCATGGTCCTCCAGGCCGTGGGCTGATGACACTTCGGCTCCTGTGGTCCTCCTTCAAGGCTCCGGGATGCCCGACAACAGCAACGTGAGTGCCTCGCTGAAACGAATTTCTCATTAGCCCCTTTCCCTCCCCTGGGTGATGACTTTTAATTAACGGCAGGTTTCTTAAAGACCAAAGGAGGAGGCAGGTGAACAGCAGAGCCGCGTCCAGGAGAGCTTTTATTTATACGGAACAGTTTTAAAAATACAGAATAAAATAGCTTTATCTCTACTATTATTCACAACATCTGGTCCAAATAGTACATATTTTTAAAATACTTAAACGTTTAATGAAGCCATGTTAGAAAAACAATATGAAAATTCTTTTTAAAAACTCCATAAAAGAATTACACATCTCGAAAAACAACCCCACCCCAGATACCCTCGGTGTGCGAAATAAAAACAAACAAAATCCCAGAAAGGTACATAGCCAAAGTCAGTCACAAAAACTCAAGGAAAACACAAGCATCCCCACTGTTTTAAGAACAGTCAGAAATGTGTTAATGTGTCAAACAAAGGTCATTATGAATGAACGAAAAAGGGTATCCCCTTGAACTGTCAGTAAGATGGCAACGCTGGTCGGGGGTCCTAAGTGCCGGGGGACACACACAGCGATTGTAAGGACGCTGGACGTTACTTATGTACAATGATGACGAGGCAGAGCCAAGAACAGCCTAGAAGGACAGGAATGTGTGTGAGGCTGCTGAAAGGGGCTCCCCAGCGCTAACGTGCTTTACAGGTCCACGGGCAGAAGCTGAACGCTGGCAAAAACGGGCGGCATTCTTGCACCACTCCAGTTGTGACTGCAGGAGGGGTGGAAGGTGGGAGATGTCCTGTTCTCTGTGCATAAGGGGACAGAGAACAATACCCACAGCATAAGAAACCCCAGGCTCTTCTCTAAAGCCAAGGGGCGGCTCGCTGGGTCCTGTGAAAGCTCAGGCACATGTGCAGGGCTACCACGGTGTCCAGTGGGCATGGCTGGGTGTGCACACAAGGCTTCCAGCAACAGCCACACTAGGCTTGGTGTGTGCAGCCGAGTGTGCACCCCAACACAGCCACCAGCAGGAAGCCGCCTGTCCTCACGCCACACAGGTTCCAGAATGAGGTCTCCGCCACAGATCCTTCCTTATTCACCTTCTACCTGGCTTGGCCACTCTTGTGGCATCAATATTATGGAAGATTGGAGTTGCCAACTTCAAGCCTAAGTTGCTAGTACTAATATTTCAGCAGGGACACGAATTAAAGAAAAAACAACTTAGCTCATGGACATAAGATATACGCATGGGTAAATAAAGTATACACACATACTAGAGATTCATCAATGGAGAAATTCTATCATCACATGACATTGTCATGAAAATTATACCATTCCCTCCCTGGAAAACTGTGACTATTATCCTGGGCAGAAATGTTATTTTACTATATGGAAATACTGCAATATTCATGCATAAACCAAGTTGTCATCATGAAAGTCAGTATGCTACAGCATAAAGCAAATCCCGTGTGTGAATTTGTTACCATGAAAATGGGAAACCATCAGGACCCAGGATGCTTCATTCTAGCTGGCCTGGTTAAGCCACTTCTCTTGCTTTGATCAACCACAAGAAACTTCCTCAAAGTTAACGTTTGAAACCCTCTTAAGAAAGATTCTGTATCAATGAATCTAAGTTTAATTCCCTAGTGAGAACGAGAATAAAAATTGCTTACAGAGACTGGAGCCATTTCCCATGATTCTGTGAACCATGCTAGATACTTTACCAAAACCAGTTGGGGGGGGGGTCTCCCTTGTCCCCCACTGTGATATGGGCAATATCTACTGTCCTTATACTTTGTACATCAGGATGGCCAACGTAAATGTGAAGATGGTGGGTAGGTGGTCGCTGTAGAAATTGGAGACTGAATGCCCTGCCCAAGGACATTTACATCCACAATATTCTAAAACATTCTATTAGCCAAACAAAGCAGGGTGGGCATGCGGCCCCAGCAATGCAGGCCAACAATGTAAGTGGGAAGTGTTACAGGCACAGACCACGCATGGCCACCGCGTTCCCCAAAACCTCCCCTTCAGGTGTGTGCTCAACTCTAAGGAGCAGATGAACACGTTTTTCTTTCAATTACAGACTCATTCTCTAGCATATTTGCAAGCAGGAGGCCACGTCCTAAAACGGCTGGTGGATTCTGCGTGTACAAGATTTATCAGTTGTCATGAGACTCCAATCCCTCAAGCAAAGGTGAGTTTCACAGGTAGTGCAGAAAGTACCAGATTCAATGGGACCTCTAGTCAGGCTGCCCTCTTTCCTCCTCACCTCCTGTCCCCTCCCCACCCTTGGACAGAGAATCTAACATTGGCCCCAATGGAACAGGAAGGGCAAAAACCCTCTTTCCGATAGGAGGTGTTGGTACAGGGCTTCCCTCCACATTTGAACGCTTGCAGAAGACAAAGCCCGGACCAGCAGATTTGAAACCTCCTCATAACCTGGCCCAACGAGGGCTTTCAGAAAGGAGTAGGCTTCTGGACATTTGAAGCACGTACCCTGAGTATTACTCACTGGGAGGGAAGATGCCCGGTCACGTTAAGTTGAAGGGAAGTTGTTTCTGAATTACCGACGGTTCAGATGCTTTTATTGGGTATTTGGTCCTTCTGCTCACCTAGAGCTGGAATACTGCAAATCTCTGGGATGTTTAACCATTTTCCCCATTTTTCCAGAGCAGAGAAATTGGAGATGCTGAGCAAAATACACATAGAAGCAAGTGAGAGCAATCAGCGTAGGAGGGCTGTCAGTCTCGAGGGCTTACCAAGTTAAAGAGGTGAAAACCGTTAACCAGTGTGCTTCTAAAGTAACTATGCATCGGATACAATTTTAAAAAACATGACATACAAATTTAAATGTAATTTAGAATCTAAATTTTTTACTTAATCTGCAATAAGATCTTGGCAAAACAATGCAGTGGCTCTGAAGTATTCTTGCCAGAATAAGCCTTGAAGCCCCAACCTTTCCAGGAGTCAAAGAGGCGACAGTGACACAATAATGCTGCCAAAGACATCCCAATGCAGAGAGGCAGAGCCAGCTGTGGGGGCAGGAGATGCACCATGTGGACACAAGGCTGCCGAGAACCATGCTCTGCTGTTGGAGACAGGAATGCCCAACGCCATCTAAGACTCAACCAGGTCAGCAAATACTTAAGAAGCACAACCTCATCAAGTGAGGCTTTTCCTTTGGCTGAAAAATCTCAAACCAAATTCAACAGACGTTATTTTTTTCAGAAGGAATTTAGTGTTATTCATTAGAACTCAACAGAGGGGGCCTGCAGGCTGCTTTTCTCACCACCTTCTGCTTTAACTTAAACAAGAAAGGCAGCATTTGACCAGGGGATCTAATCTTCCTCTCTGCAAAATCAAGATTCAGTGGACATGCAACAGGGCAACCCACAGAAATGGCTTGCAATAGAACTGCAAGTGACGAATTTACCAGGTGGCCGGACCATTCAATATGGCGGCTCTGTTTGTTACCTGCCCCAGCTTCCCTTCTTCACAAAACAAATTCACGTATAACTTAACCCACGGTTTCTGGGCTCTGGTCCAGTAGTCAGTTTTGATAAATAGATTAGGCATTACAGTATTTACACTTTTGTGGTATCAAGCAATACAAAACACAACCACAACAATGGTTACTGGCTTTCAAAAGCCATGACAACAAGCTTCCCTGATGGTGTCCACAGCTTTACAAATGCTGGTTCTTTTCTTAATAAGGGGAAGGGGAGTGGGGGACAAGTAATAGGGATGCAAGGTAAGAGGATCACATGGAAAAACACTGATTTCAAAAATCTGCTATAGTCAATAACATTAAATAGGAATAAAATCTTGTAATTATAGACACGCGTGACAATAACTGACATCCACATGACAGCAGAGCTAAGGCTCCCACGAACGTCTGCTTGGTGCCCTTGTGTGGCACTCTATACCCATCATACCAGCCAGGAGTGATAAATGCCAGATGGAATGTCTCAGCTACCAGTGAAAAAGAGGCCAGTATCAAATGTGCTGGCCCAGCCTGGACCTGGGTGGCACCAAGAAAGAGCAGTTGAAAATCAGATACTGATTTCAAGGTACTTTCCCTTCCCCCTCAAGCCCCTAAACAGATTTCCATCTTAATAGTATCTGTACAGATCTTACTCATGCACAGATCTGGGCACGGGGTAACCACGTCAGTTTTCAATCAGGTCAACGGCCTCTTCTTACAGGAGGATCAGGCAACACAGAATCACATATGACCTGTCAGTTGTGACAATGGGAGGATACTGGTGCCCCTTGATCAGAGGTGGTCTCTGCAGTTCAGGCCGAGGTCAAATAAAAAAACAAGCTGGTTCAGGTGCGTCCGGAACAGAAGGCCCCCGGACCCTGGAGGCGGCTTGTAGGAAAGCTAGCACGGGGTGGTGGAAGGGGACTGAAAACCAGGAATCACTGCGGATTTCAAACATCCACTCCCACAGGAGGACAGGACCTTCAAGTTCAGTGACCATGGCCAGCAGTGAATGCTCTCAAGGGCAAGGGGTCAGGGCTTAAATAAGGAGAGAAGTGAGACATCCTATCAGACATAATCACTACCCACAACAAAAAAGCTATTTGTAACCTGTCTCAGCTCTGGGATGCAGAATGTAAATGCAGATATACAAACATATATGTTACTGCTTGTTACTCAGCAAGGAACTACAGCTTCACGCCTCACTGCGGCCGGGCCACAGGGCGAGCTATGGCTATACCGTGGCCTGGGAGTCCTCGTCGGAACTCCGGCTGTTTGCGCTCTTCCCGAGGCTTTTCCAGGTGTAGCCCGCAAAGGTCGGGCTGATGGGTAAGTAGCTGAAGCATCTGTATTTTTTAATAATGTTCATGCCAAACGGCAAATCATAGGATTCCATGCCATCGAGCGACTTGCTCCCTTTGCCCACGCCCTTCTTCCACTTCCTGATTCCTCGTTCCTCTGGAGTACCTGTGGAACACACACACATATACACAAAGCGCACTTGAGGAGCAAGCAATGGCATCAGCTATCCAGATGCCCACACCAGAAATCTAAGAATCGCTAACCCATCCTTGTTCCTCTGGCCCCACGTTCAAATGACCTCCTGACGACTCTGCCTCCCCCATCCTTCCACATGATGAACAATCTCAATTTTCACGGTGGAGGTCTGGCCCAGGCTATGTCCTTGCTTTCCAGGGCCATCACATCGGTCTCTTAACTGTTTGTCTAGTCTTCCCTCTCACCATTCCCTCCTTCAAATCTGTTCTCAAACACTCTGCAAAAAACAACAAAAACTTCCAAAATGCAAATGTGATCTTGCAAAATGGGGCCCAGAGTCTTTATTATACCATATACAATGCCTTCATCAACTGGTTGTGGCAACCCCCTCCATGCAGACACACCAAGTTTTACGCTGCTTTGCTCCATTTTAGTGTGTGTGTGTTGCACATGTCATGTATTTCCCACTTGTCGTGCTCCTCTGAGGAGGAACTTCCACTGGTGTAACACTCCGGGCCACTCTGCACCCTGACAGATGAGTCAGGGAGAAAGATCGGGGCCCACAGGCTCAGCAGCTCCTAGACTTCTTTTCAGACATCTTCCCAGTGCAGACGGGAATACTGGCAGCTTCTCTTGGCTACACGGGATATCTAACAATATCCTTCTGTGCCCGAGCCCGGGTGATGAGCTCGAGTCTATGGTGCGGTATTCAGGAACCTCATTATTTTCTTACATCTAAGCCACCCTCCTATCAGTGTTCCAGTGACAAAGCTGACTTTCATTTCCATCTGTCTGACTCCTGTGTCTCTCTCTCTCAGTTAGTTCTCACTTAGGAGAGAAAGAGGTATTAGTTATTGACCCCATAAATCTAACACCTTTCTCCTATTCATGCAGGTGATTGCTTCTGCCAGACGTGTTCATCCCAGGTGTCCACAGCCTCAACTGATGCCTCTTGATTGAGGCTTTTTGGACGTGGGTTGTCTTAAGGGGAAAATCTCAATAAAACCTTCAAGCTCAAGAATAAGCATCACGTCCTAGATAGCAGGTGAATCTACCAGTGCATCCATGGCAGCAATTCACAATGTACACAGCAGCCTCCTCTGGGAACCTGGAAGGCTGCAAGGCAGGGCCCAAATCCCATCCTAGTCCATCACCCAGAGCTTGGCACAGAATGCGCCCTGCTCAGAAACAAGGGTTATGGGTGGTGGGGAGACAGCTGCCTCCACCCATCTCTCCGTCATTGATCCTGGCAGCCACCTGTGCCCACTGTGCTCCCTGTCTTTTGGTCTTAGTTGGTTGGGGACCTGTCTTAGGAAGGACTCATTAAAGGACAGGCTTCCCAAGGGGGAGAAGTGTTGAAGGCTCATGGAAGTGTGTGGACAAGCTGACGAAAGCCAAATTGCAGGACACTGGGCATGGTTGTGCAAGAGGGCAGGCTGCCCGGACTGTGCCCCAGGCATCGCCCTGCCATGTCACCATGTGCCAGGAATTTACCTGCTTTTTCTCTTAAAAGTAACGCAGCAAGAAGGGAAAAAACAACTAATAAGCTTATTAGCAAAAGACTGATTTACAAAAGGAGGCTGCGAGTGTTATCTTAATCACTGGAGAAAAGACAGTTTTAACCAGTGCTGGCTTTGAACTGATTCACTCTTCCTGCTTCCCGTATTTATTTGGCAAAAAGTAACTCATATCTGTAATAAGCATGTTTGATATTTACACATACCTGGGATGGTGTTATCCAAAATAAAAGCCACACAGCCTCCTACAAACATGGCAGTTGTGAGAAGAACGTTCAACACTTGATCGATTCCTGATATCCCTGGAAACAGACCAGAGCAACCGGGTCATTGCGACAGCCAGGATGGGCCTGCCCTTGACCTAGAAAGGAGCCCCAGGGCAGACTAATCACCAGTCAATGCTGTGCATGACAGTGTAAACTTCTGTTGTGCATGTGTAGATAAATTTATGCCAGTAATGTTATAAACTGCCATGAATACTTTCAACAGTAATCAAAAGATATCTCCATAGGAAAAATTCCTAACAATGGTGCATAGAAGATAAATCGAACAGAGTGGAGTTCACCCTAACGTGAACTATGAAGCCACTGAGGATGGTGTTTGCAGATTAAAAAAGAAAAATCAATATAAAAGATGGTTGTTGTAAGGTTGAAAAAAATCACAAAGTGAATATAACAAGACAACAAAAATATCTGTGGTATCCGCAGATAAAGGGTTTCAGAATTCTGGGTTACTAATTAGTGCTTAGCTGCTTTTAATTAGGGGCAACTGGATTTATAAAGATGTCCACACATGAATATGATATTACAATGTAAAAAGCAGCAAGAACCTCCTTGTCATTAGAAGTTCACACACTTTCTATATTTAAAATATATTGATCCCCAACAGAAAATAACAAGTGTTGGTGAGAATGCAGAGAAACACAAATCCTTGTACACAGCTTGCAGGGATGTAAAATAGTTCACCTGCTGTAGGAAAGAAGTGAGTGGCTCCTGAAAAAGTTAAATACAGCATTAACATACAAACCAGTGATTCCACTCCTAGGTATACTGCCGCAAGAATTGAAAACAGGTACTCAAACACAGCTGATACTCATTACTGGCAGATTCTGTATTTGTGAATTCACCTACACACTAAAATTTACTTGTAAACCCAGAATGAATACTCATGGGCTTTCACAGTCACTCACGCACACGCACAGCAGGGAAATACGTGAGTTGCTCAACACACATATTCTCAGCTGAGGGCAAACAAGGTAAGGCTCTGCCTTCTTGCTTCAGCTCAGACTGTAAACAAGTGTCCTGTTAGCACCATTTTTTTGTGTGTTTTTGTGCTTTTTCCTTGGTGATTTCGCTGCTTAAAATGGGCCCTAAGTGTTGTGCTGAAGTGCTGTCTAGTGCTCCTAATCGTGAGAAAGCCACGGTGTGCCTTACAGAGAAAGCACGCTTGCTAGATGAGCCTCATTCAGGCCTGAGTTACGGGGCTGTCAGCCATGTCTGCCCCAGGAGCAAGGGTGCTAATTTGCTAATTCCACGTTCACGGTGACTTTTCAGAACATAACTAGCATGACTGAGGACAGCCTGTACTTGTACACCAAGGTTCATGACAGCGCTACTCACAATAGTCAAAATGTGGAAACAACCCAAACGTCCATCAATGGATAAATGGATAAACAGATTAGGGTATATACATGTGATGGCATATTATTTAGCCATAAAAAGGAAGGAAACACTTCTACATGCTATAACATGGATGAATCTCGAAAACATGATGCTAAGTGAAAGAAGCCAGACACCAAAGGTCACAGAATCGTGAGGTTCTATTTATACGAAATGTCCAGAACAGGTAAATCCACAGAAACAGAAAACAGATTGGTGGTTGCTAAGGGCGGGAGAAGGGGGATTAAGGGTAAGGAATTTTATTTTGGGGTGATGAGGCAGCTTTGGAAACTAGACAAGAGGCAGTGATTACACAACACTGTGAATGTATTTAAGTGCCACTGAACTGTTCACTTTAAAATGGTTAATTTTATGTTATGTGAATTTCATCTCAAAAAAAAAAAAAATATATATATATAAAACAGTCCTGAATTCTGCATAAAAGATCAGCAGGAATAGCTATTTCCTCAGCAGGCTCCTTTTGCTCACTCTTCATGACAGTGGGGTATTAAAATAAAAAGGAGTTTAAAGGTTAATCTTGAATTCAAAGTAGCTATAATCCTAGTAGAAAAACATGTATTTCAGAGTCTATGAAGTTGTTTCAATAAATTACCCATTTTAATAAAGCATTCATCTGAGAAACCAAAGGTTTTACAGAGGCATTCATCCCAAAGGAGAGGGTCACGGTAAAAAAAAAAAAAAGACCTAATGTGCACGTTATGTGCACACGCCAGCTCTTGCGGGGAGAACACAGGGCTTCCAGATAAACTTGGGCAAAGTGAGATTCAAATGAAATATGCAGACTGACATTCACCAGAACAATTTCTGACTCTCCAACTGGGCATGAGCTGTTTGTGAACTGGTGGCTGTGGTTCCGACTGCCCCCAGATTCAAGGCCTGTTTTCTGTACCTGTGACGAGAGGGTTCTGTCTGAGGTAACTTGGAAGGACGAGCCCAAAGAAGATTGAAAATCCAAGCACAAAGAGGTTCCGGGAAGAATTCAGATCGATGAACTGAAGGTTGGAGAGTCCAACAGCTGTGATCATCCCTGGAGAGAACCACACACAGGCCCGTGAGCTCACCCACGGCACGGCCGCCAGACGCCCCAGGCCGCCAAAGACAGACTCCCCACCACGTCCTTTCTCTGTCCCATCCGTGTCAAGTCCGGAGACCAGTGCAGTGGCAGGACAGGTGGTCAGAAGGTGACCACCTGGGTCTCTGATCCAATGACCCTCTGCCTAAGCTCTATTAGGGCTTGTTCAGGGGCATAAACATCACACTATGCTTTCTTAAGACCAAGCAGAAAACTAAGGACATTGGTCCCCCCCTTAAAACTTCTATGCAAACATTTTGATTAAATTGGGAAACCCTCCCAAATATTTGGCCCCTGATGACTACAACTGAATGACACCAAGATCAAATTGAGCCCCACTGTAAAAATGGTCAGTTTTAAATGGCCCACTCAAAGGGGAAGGTATTTGAGTCAAATCAATTAGAAATGCCAATGAAGGAGATTAATGTAATCTTCCATTTCCTAGCAGAATCACTCTCCATTTGGTTCTACCTTTAACATAAGTTCAACGCAGAGAGTGATGTAGGTTTAACTTTTCAAGGTGCATCCTTTCGTATTTTAAAATAGAAGTGTGTTCCCTTCTACCTTACTGAAGGGATTCAGCAAAAAGCCATGGTCCCTACTAAAAATCAGCAAATGTGGAGAAAGAAAAGGAGCCTGAGAGGGAAGCCCGCTATCAAGGAAACACAATTTTACCAAAGAGAGTACAGAAGAGGGCGCCAAGCACAGGGTCTGGAAGGGAGGCGAAGAGGGCGCTGAACTTGCCGATCATGCCCAACCCCAGCATGAGGGCCGCACCGTACTGTATCACCCGGCGACTGCCGACCTGCAGGACACACCAGAGGGCAGAGACAGGTGTTCAGCTAGAGGTCCTCCAGCAGCACAGATTCCGACCCAGCACCCCCAAGGGCAAATGTAACGATGTCCTCAGACAAGATCTGGATTACTCCGAAAACTTTTAGTTGGAGGGGTCAGTCTCATTTCACAATGAGGACTGATCTCAATAGAAAATTACTACAAATTACTCTAAAGACACCCAGAGCAGAAAATTCCCACCACCTTTCTTCATTCCCGTCCCCCTCCTCCTCCCTTTGACTGTGGGTGGCCCTGGGTCTCGGCCCTCGCTTCTCCGAGCCCTGGGTGATGTCACCTCAGCGTGGACCGTTCCTGCACTCAAGCCCTGGGCTTCCAATGCTCTCACACTCAAGGGCTGGGAGGCCCTCCTACTGTCTCACATGCAAAATGCAAAAGCTACACTCTACTCTGGCCCTGCTTCTCTTCAGGGTTCCTGGCATCACCCTTCACCTAGTTAACCCACCCCAAAGCACTTCAGCCTCAACGACTCCGTCTTCCCCAGACCTTTAATCACTTCTGGAATCCTCTCCTTATGGTGTCTTGCCCGTGAGAGGTGGCAGAGCCTCCAGGCCAGGGAGTGCAGACGTCCTGAGCCCAGCTGCCTGGCTCACGCTCCCACGCCAGCCCTGACCATGTGACTGGGGCAAGCTACTCCACCTCTCTGGATGGCAGGACCCTCATCTCTACAACGATAAACTGCGTGGTTTTGCTTTGAGGATTAAATGAAATGATGTGTCAAACAGTCTGAACTGCACCTAGCAAGCATGAGCCTCTTTGATAGGCTCCCACTTGGGCTTGCTGCCTCTGGCCCTTCCTCCACCCACCCATCCTCTCCACTGCGGTGGAGTGACCTCTCTAACACACTGATCTGGGAGGTCAGGGCCCTGCCCAAGCCCTCAGGTGCTCATGAAATAAAACCCACTTCTCCGGCTCTTCCCAAGGGAGCCAAGCCTACTGACGAGCTCCCTGCCCTGTGTCCTGCCCCAGTCATGCTGGGGGTTTATCACTCGCTCCTCAATGTACCAGGCATGTCCAGGCCTGTCTATCTGGAACACTCTTTTCCCACTCACCCCTTCTGGTTGGTTCCCAGACATGTCTTTCAAAACACTACCCAAATGCTACGTCCTCTGAAAAGCCTTCCTTGATTCTAAGGCTGGATTCCTCTACTCTGGGCGTCTACAGCACCATGTATAACATTTCCCACCTGGTCTCATCTTCATTTGTTAAGCCTGATCTCTGCCTTCTAGAAACTTCCATCTAGCCCACTGTCACGCAGGTGGCGGGAGGCGGAGCTGGCACTGGGCTCAAGAATCCTGCACTGTTGGGCCCTACTCTGCGCTGCCTCTCCCAGGAAAACACCCTGAGGACATAAACCAGGTAAAGGAAGTTCCAGAAACATCTGAGAGAGTGTCCACAGGTACACATAGCTTTAACTCTGACTTACAGTGAGGAGAAGATGGCTAGTTACAAGTTAATTAAAACGAAATGAAATTTAAAATTCAGTCCCTCAGTTGTACTCGCCATACTTCAGGTGTTCTGAAGGCACGTGTGGTTGGTGGCTCCTGCAAGGGACAGTGCAGGTGTAGAACATTTCCACCACTGCAAATGTTCTCCCAGACAGCACTGGTCTAGAGTTTGCAACACCTTCTCAAAGGACTCACAGGTCAGCTGGCTAAGAATCAAAGTCGAAGCTTACTGAGCAAAGGAAGATAGGGCTGTCCAGCCAGGATCAGCCACTGCTGACCCTGGAGCCCAGGCTCCTCTGTTCTGCTCTACAGCTCCTGCCACCACACCACCGCCAAGTGCAGGGAAGCATCGAAAATGTCATGCAAACTGGCAAACTGAGCAAAACTGATATATGCTTGGCTGTATTACATGATAAGGAAGCCTTTTATTTACAAACACTCATTTTTCAGCAAATATTTTTAAGGACCTACTACATGACTAGCACTTGTTAGACTGGGGGGTGCTACAAAGATGAATAAGTCACAAGCTTATGATCAAATAATTGTACTGCTGCGATTGTTACACTATACGGGAGCCCAGGGAAGAGAAACTGAAGAGCTGGGGAGGGTCTTGAGAAATGAGCAAGAGTTCACTGGAGGAAGAGCAGCCAGGCAGAGGGAACCACCTGTGCAAAGACCACCTCCCAGCAGGGTCAGCCCTGTCAGGAGTGCATAGGGAGGGCCAAGCGGCCCCAGGGATGCCTGAAACAGTAAATCTTACATGAAAACCATGCACGGAAGGAAGAGTGATCTGCCTTAGACGCTGTCAAAAAAAAACAAGCAGCAAGTGAGCCATTCTCCTGTTCAACGAATATTAACCAAGTGCCCAGTACACACTTCTGTTCCAAGCACCAGAGACAGCCCTACAGTCCCCGCCCTCCTGGAGCTGGCAGGGAGCCTTCGCATCTCCCTTCCTGCTGCCCATCCGTGGAATCTCCTCCTCGCCTCCCTGTGACCTCCCTCCTGAACTTCGGCTCTGCCTCTAGGGCCATGGAAAAATCCAGTGTTTCTGACTTTCCAAAGTCTCCAACAGCGTGGAAGGCAGCAGAGGAGAAACGACCTTCCTCTGGACACCACCAAAGAGAGAGTACAGCCAGGGGAGACGGTGTCCACTCCGTTCCCAGAAATAAACTTAGGGCTGAGAATCTATTAACAGTGTCTATAGCTTACTGTGTGCCGCCCACATGCCGGGACTCTTTGCTAAGTGCTCTACGTCAAGTTATCACCGCCGATGCCTTGCAAATTATCTCTACAGACCAGGGCATGGAGACTCAGAGAGGTGACGTAACTTCCTCATGGTCACACGAGGAGAAAGTGATGCGGTCAGGGCTGGAATCCAAAGCAGCCCCCTGCCCACCATGTCACGGCGCCCTTCCCTGTGGGCCGGACGTTGGAACACACTCAGCAGGGACGTCCCGCACGTGGACGCCAACCCTTCAGCACTTCAGAACACGTGGCGGCAGGGGCAGCTCAACTCTTGCTCAAACAGGCTAGAATTTCCAGGTATGTGGAATGCCATAACTCGACAAAAGACAGCAAATACTAGGCCATCAATGGAGGCAGAGTCTGCGGAAGAGCCAAGACCACCCTCCTTCCATACGCCCGACGTCTAATACAACGGCCCAGACCAACGTGTCACACAGAACTTTCTACAGCTAGGGAAACGTTCTGTATCTGTGCTGTCAGCCACCCATGACCACTGAGCCCTTGAAACACGGGTGGTGTGACTGAGGAACTGAGTTTTTCATTTTAACTTATTTCAACTTAAATAGCCACACGTAGCTACTGACTACCGTACTGGACAGCACAGATGGAGACCTAGAATCAGCGGGTTTCAGACCTGAGTTCTACTCAGAGAAGGGACTTGTCCCAAGTCTGGGGCAGAAGACAGCCCAGAACTCACACCTCCACCTACAGTGGCCTCCCGTCAGCGGCAGACATGTCGGCTGAGTCCCACTTCCCCACCCCAAGGCAGCTCAACGACCCTGACCCCTGACCCCCATGGCAGTCAGAACAAAGAAAACCGATTCCAAGGAGGACACTGTCCTTGAACAGATGACGTCTTTGCCTGGGGGGAGTGAACAAAAGGGATTCAGAGAAAAGATCAATTAGTTCATTAAATAGTGCTGGCAGGGCACCTCTTCAGAATCCTTCGGCACCATTCAAATTGTAATGAAGACAATTATTCCCCAAACCACCTTAGTCCTGTTTTGGAAGGGCACCTCACCCTGCAACACTACTTACTCCTCACAGAGACCCTGGATAACTTAAAGGAGGGCGTGTTTTAAAGGGACGTGGAAAGCGAACGGGCTTGTTACACTGTTTTCCCCTAAGAGTCGCACCATCTACTACAATTTTACTAGTATGTTATTTTGGGTTAGTTATATGTCTACAGTTCATGGTAGCAAACTGGATAAAGGGTCACGGTTTATGCCCCACTTGGTGCCCACGTGCTCAGCATCTGCTTCTCCCCAGGGATCCTGGAGGACCATCAGGCAGCCCTCACTGGCTATGTGCCAGGAGCAACAGGCAGCAGGTGGGGCCATCTGCACACCTGAGGCTGAGCTCTGCGATGGGCCTGCCAACTTACAGGAGAACCAACTAATATGTCAGGCATGCACCGTGCGTGCCCTGCTCCCTCCCACCTGGATTTGCAGTCCAGACTAACCAAACTTAGTATCTGGTTTCTTTTTATCTGGATATAGAATCTTGTAGACAGCCGGGGGAAGGATTTTACAGAGAATAATTTTACAGAGGTCGAACAGTTCTAGAAGGCTCCGGCTCACCCCCAAGGTCTCAGAATACAGCGCACGGGTGAGGAAGACCTGCGACTCACACAGGCCATCCCGGAGGGCGACCCAGTTCTAACAGTCTAGCTGCACAGTGTACAATGGCTGGGGACAAGCAGCACACCCTGGCGAACGGCACACATTGGTCCAAGGAAACTGGGGTATAAAGTTTATTTGCTAGTAACAAATGTGAAAACCCCAGGATCAGGTTCCTTCTTACAGGAAGCTGGACTGCGGCGTGGGGCAGCCCCAGGCTCAGGTGTCTGTGTGGAGTCAGGTGGGGAGGAGAGCAAACGAGCAGGACTTGGGCCCAGGCCCTGCTCAACCTGAGCAGCTCACTGGGGCTTGCTTTATCCAGTAACTCCACAAGAGACTTCATCTGAAAGAGAAGGACTCTGCTGCTAAGGTTTAAAAACCATGTTAATTCTTTATCGTAAGATCGATTTTTTTCTGTAACGAGTAGTACCATCTCTCACGTAGAACTAGTCCCACCGTCTCCCAGCTGGTCTGGTTTCCACCTCCTCCCCTGCCCTCCATGGGCTACGCTCATCATAGCAGCCACAGTGATCTTTACCCAAAAAACAGACGGAGTCACACCCTAGGGCACCCGCTTCCACTTGGCCTCTGGCAGCCTACGGGGCCCACGTGACCTGGGGGACTTCATCTGATCCTGCCCCACTGGCCTCCTTGCTGATCCGCAACATGCCAGCCTGCTCCCATGATAGGGCTTTGCACTGGCCGTCCCCCTGCCAGAATGCCCATTCCCCAGGTACCTACACAGCTCCCTCCCTCACCTCCTCCAGGCCTTTGCTCAAGGTCATCCTCTCAAGGAGGCTTAGCCTGACCCTATCTAACACTTACCCACCCTCACTCCTGAGCCCCCCGCCCTGCCCTGTGTTCTGTTCATCGCTTGTCTTCCCTGCTAGATGGTGAACTCTACGAGGCTGGGGAGAGTTTTCTTTTTATTCACTGATGTATCCCATCTGCCTAGAAGTCTCCTGGCAAAGGGTCGGTGCTTAATACAAATTTGTAGAGCTCATGGAGGAATGATAGCACCTGAATGCCTGCCTCCCCGAGCCAGCCAGGGGAGGAGAGACCTCCACCGGCATTCCAAAAACCCATCAATGCAAAAAGGGAGATGGGGGAGATGATCTCAGAATCGGAGACATTCCCTTTGGAACTCACGGTGGTCAGACCAGTCAATGAGATGGATCAATGCTTAGAGGCCCAACCATTTAATTAGAAAAATATTTGTACCTTAGTAATTCCCAAAACTCCAATGTTGGGACTGGATGAAGTAGAGCCATTCCCAGTACCAAATATGCCATCCAGAACACAGGAGAGACCCTCCACGAAAATCCCCCTAAAACGTAAAGGAACGGGGGAAAGAAAAACATTCATTCAATGGGGGAAACACTCTGAAATTTGCTCTAAACGGTTGCGACCCAAAGGCAGGGCCCACAGGCCTGCAGCCTTCACATTCCCCGGGAGGGTTAGCAATGCAGGATCTCAGGCCCCATTCCAGACCTGCCGAAGCAGAGCCTGAATTGTGAACGGCATCCCCCACGCCTATTCAACTTTGAGAAACACCTCTCTATGCTGCACATTAGACACAGGTGTTCAGAAAATCATTCCAAATTAAAGATTTTAGCCAGAAAACAGAGCCACTTGTTGGGATCTAAGACAAACACAGGCTGTCCATTGATTTGATCCCTTTGCTATGAATATATAGTTTCATCAGGAAGGAAATGCTTTGTAATTTTGTAAACATTGGAACTTTTTAAAGAATAAATATATAAGTAACGTAACCATACGCAACAGCTCCACTAGAGAAAGGCGAGGAATCAGGAATGTAAACCCTAACAGACAATGCAAGAGATGCTAAGACACCAGCCCCACTGGATCTCATCACACACAATCGCTTCCTGAAGGGCGGCAGTTGGCCGGGAGAGGGGGGGACAACCTGAGCTGTTTTTCCTTCTCTGCAGCCTCCAATTCGCTCCCGGCACCCGGAAACTAAAGCCCAGTGTGTTGAGAACACAAACCCCACAGCCCCTAAACATCTAGATTCTGCAGATTTCATTGGTTCCTGCTCTTCTTGTCTCTGTATGAGTTGTAATTATAAACAGATGACACAGCATCTACCCCCTAGAACAGCTGGGAAATCAGAGGGACACATATCGATGACCCCAAACGAAGCAGAGTACAGGGCGGTGTCTGGCTCTTGTTTTGATGAGTCTAAGGTTTGGAGTGGTCTCAGAGAACGTCTCATGTGACTGTCACTATGAGGAAGGAAGGCTGGGAATTCTGCTCTGTGTTATGGATAAGGAAAACGAGAGCAAAATGAGGACAGCGACTTGTCCAAAGACAAACAGCCAACGGAGAGCCCTGAGGCTCAGCTGCCTTCATGGTGACGCTCTTGGTTTCTTCCCCAAGACTATCCAAACCAGAGAGCCAGGCTGGAAGCGCTGGGCCCGAGGAGGAGCTGTTCTCTCAGGACGCACCTGTTTATAGCATGGATGGGAGGCGGTGGGGCGCAGGACAGCCTGGCACAGGCGTAGTAGTCCCCGATGGACTCGATAATGCTGGCGACCACCGCGCTGAGCATGCCGATGACGCCAGCTGCAGAGACGGTGGGCAGTCCCCACTGGACTGAGGAAGGAAAACAAACATGAAATCCTCGCACGCTTTCTAAGCGGGGCAGGCAGTGGTCGGGACGCTGAGTCATTTGATACGTCAGGGGACTCGACAGGATCCACTCAGATTCTGCAGCTTGTGGCAACTCCTCGCTTATTTTTAAACCTAAGTCATCGCTGCACTAGTTGCCCGCGAGCAGCTCCTGAGTCAGATGAAGACGCCGTAACCAGGACCGGTCTGCTCTACGTCTTTATTTAAAAGGAGAAACTGTTTGGCTGGAAGAGGCAAGCGCTGCTCTTCCTGCTTCGAAGCCACATTCAGTGTCTACTAAATGACAGGTTAGCACAGCCTGCTTTGCTGGGACAGAAATCTCTAGGAGGAGGATTTTTGGCTGTGCAAAGCATGGAACAAAATAATAGTGCTCTTGCCCAGAGGGGGCATCCAATGAAAAAGCAGTGAAAGGTCACCAGCTAAATTTAAATCCCAACAGTAAACATGGCACAAGGTATAGACAACCCTTCTCTAGCGTTATATCAGCACTTCTTTTTTTTTAGTAAACCATGTTAAGGCAAATTAAATAGTTTCCTTTAAGAAAACAAAGAGAAGTCCTAAGGTAGCTTCATTTTGAGTATCTGGATGTAGCTAATTCTTCATTAGATATACCTTTAAAGGAAAAAAATCTCTATTTGGACATCGAAAGCTATAGTTGTTATTTAATAAAAACAGCACGAGGAACTTTCTCTGTTACAACGAATAGACTTCTTTGATAAAGTACCTAGACCTTCTTGCCTTGAACCATTAGTTATAACAGAGCCACTAAGTATAAGCACAGTGGGAAAGGAGGATGGATAAAATGGTCTCTTGTGCAGCGGCTGGGGGAACAGGTCACAGAAAGATCTAGGAAAGGGTAACAGTTAGACTTAATGAAGGCAACCCACACTGGGGCACAAGGCGTACAAGTTACAAGGCAGGAAGAGGTGTGGTCCCTGTCCAGAGAGGGTCTGGAGGTGGAGAGCTGAGGGGAGGGGACGTCCTTGGTGGGCAGTGGCCTGAGCATCAGCAGATCAGCAGAATCGGGCAGGAATGGGCTGCTGTTCAGCAGAGGTGGGTGCAGCCTGGGGCAGGCAGGTGCAAGAGGGGCTCGACAGGCCACACAGAGGAGGCCTGGCCTCTGCCTCATAGGTAAGGGGGAAGAGAAAGAAGACCCCTGAAGTAAGATGTGCAGAAGATGCCTGGAGTGTGTGTGAAGGCAGAACTGCTCCGGCCTGGGGCCCCTTTATCCCGTGGGAGCAGACAGAGGAGGCAGAGGACACAGGGGCAGCCGGTGGTCAGGGTCAAGTTGCACATCTACGGGCAACGGCTTGGCATGCTCTCTGCCCACCAGCAACAGGCTTGGTCAACGTCTCCTCTCTGGGTTGGTTAGGGAGAGACTTTTCTCAAGCAATGATTTATCAAGCAATATTTGATATTTTCTAAATAATCTTTTATATATTTACCTTGTTACTGATGTAGTATTGTGGTTTCATTTAAGTGTCTTGCTTTGGGGGGAGGGATTCTTATTTTATTTTGCCTTTGATCACTTTTCAGAAATTGCCTTTTATTTTCTTAGTCTCTTTACTCTTACTGTTTTCTTATTTTTTCCCTTCTGGCTGAAGTCCTTAATTTTGATTTTTAAAATCTTTATTCCATCTACTTCAACTTTTTTTTTTTGGTGAGGAAGATTGTCCCTGAGCTAATATCTGTGCCAACCTTCCTCTACTTTTTGTACATGGGACGCTGAAACAGCATGGCTTGATGAGCCGTGTGTAGATCCACGCCCAGGATCTGAACCTGTGAACCCCAGGCTGCTGAAGTCGAGTGTGCGAACTTAACACTACACCACTGGGCCAGCCCCTACTTCAACATTCTTAAATTTGTAATCTTCTAAGTTTTTGATCCCTTTTCCTTCAGATTAAAGAGATATATTAAGAACCTTGTTGGCTTCCATCCTTCTATCTTAACTGTTATTTTATCTCTCCCTTTAACTGGAACCTTTAATTTATGTTGTTACCTTATAGCAGGGTTTCTTAACCTTGGCACTATTGACGTTTTGGGTCCAAAAATCTGTATTTTAACAATCAATCCAGGTAACTCTCAGCTAACTGAAGACTGAGAACCACAGCTCTAGATATTAGAAAACCTGTCTCTGAATTAAGCCAAACTGTCAGAGTCCGTAAGGCTATGTTCTCTGGCCCTCTGGGGGTGTCTCTTTACCCAGGGGAGTCTTGGCAGTAGGGCAGGAGGTGGAAGTTAAGGGCTGTCTGAAGAGGAGCTGGCAGCACTCACTGCCATCACAATGCCAAGTGTCCTGTCCACTCGGTGATGCTTCCTCACGCATGGGCCCTATGGCACTGGGGGAGATCTCCCTCGTCACAGGCACAGCTGCTTCTCTCGGACAGCCCTCCCCAGCCCTGTGTTCCTATTTGTGCGCATCTTGGGAGCCACCTGCAAAAGCAGAGAGACCACCCAGCACACGCCTGGGGGCTCCCTCCTCCCTGCCCTCCCCTGCCTCCTCCTGACGGCCTCACCAGCTGACTCAATCTCACTGTATCCCAGATTATATACATATGTTCAGAAACCATGCATTTTTTTTTGGAAAAAGGATAGGTATACATAAATACATATTTAGACCACATGATCTGATGAGAATGTTATTTTAGAAAGACTAAACTTTTTAAAGTGTTTGTTAGTGCAAGAACAGAAGGAACACCTGCCAACGTGGCTGTCATTTAACATGCTTAGAACAGCTGTCTTTGACTCAATCTTAATATTCTAGGCTTTTCCTGCTTTTTCTCCTTGTCATTATAAAATGTGAAAATGGGACTGCTAAGCAGAGGAATGAATTGGCACAATCTGATGAAGCTCAGGCTTTAAATCTAACAAAAAACCCAAATGCCGGGACCAGAGTCTTCACAATAGAACAACCAAGCATTAATAACCCTGGGTTCACACAAGTCACTTTGGGGGAGTGGGTGTAGGAAGTACAACACATGGATCCAAGCGATACGACGGCTGGGGACTATCCCCCACTTTGTGAAGTTACCCAACACAGACTATAACTTAGGATCCATCTTCTATCCATTTGTGAATATCAACTTACCTCTGAAAGCTAGGGCCAAATTAAAAAAAAAAGATTATAGCTACCCCTTAAAAGATTACACAAATTGCATCCTGCTCAAACAGTGTGCTTGCCAATCTTCAGGCCCCTCCCACTCCCATCTGCTCCTCCTGGTGGCTGGGCAGTTGCCCTCAATCCCAGCCACTAGACCTCAAACCTGACAAGAGACAAGAGACGCCTCGTCCAGGATTTCATCCTAGTGGAACCCAAAGAACTAACCACTTAATCTGAGAAGGAAGCCGGTTAGTTTCTGTGTGTTAATTATGGCCCTCCAAGGATAGGGCCTCCTTTTTCGCTGCTGAATCTTCTGAGGACCAGAATACTAAGAGCTCCAGGGGACATTCTGGACAAAGAAGGCCTTTCCTGCTGCAGAACCTTCTGTCAACTTCCAGCTCCTCTAAATCAGCCCCTCATGGGCTCCTGACCCCTCTGGCCACCAGAACACTTACATGGGTACGGGACCTTAAACCACGGGGCTACCAGGAGCACGCCCTGCCTGGCATCCGTCCGAGCGTAGAAGCCGTACTTCGTGCTGTCAGGAGGGAAGACATCTGTCACCGTGAAGATGAAGCAGAGCAGCCAGGATACAAGGATGGCCAGGATGATCTGAAGTGGTCACAGGAAAAGCTCTGTCAGGCCCACAGAGGTGGCGGTTGTTGGCAAAACACATGCCTTCCTACGGTCTGAATATCACGCCCCAGAAGCCACCCGCATCAGTACTTTGCAGAAAAGACATATAACGGATCTGCTGAAAACCTGCCCCCTGAATGAAGCACATTTAGAGAGCAGTTTTATGTAGGTAGTTACTTTAAGCCTACGTGTGGAAAGTAAAACAAGAAACAGGGACAACGCGCCTGCAGAAGCCACGTGCAGTCAGACCTCCCTCAGTCCCAAGGACAATCAGTGCCCTCCTCTGATCGGCTAGAAAGATTTCAGAATCGGACCCTCCACTGCTTTTAAGTCCAGGACGGTGTGGGTGGTCATTAATACCCTGAGGGACACAGACACGGTCCCTCAGGAGGACCTGCTTAAAACCCTCCTTTTCCAAAACATTTTATATATGAACCAAAGGCAATATTGTCAGGGAAAAAAAAAAGGTGACTACTCACAGGGAACATTTTGAAAAGCTGTAACTTGTATGCAGTCCATCCTTTCTTGGATTTGTAAATTGGGAGAGGAAATTTAACATTTCTGGCATACTGAGAAAACAGTAAAACTAGGAAAATTGTCCTGAGGAGAGAAAGAAAATACACCAGGTTAAAGGTTGTACGTCTGTGTTTTAAAGTAATACTCAAAGCTTCAATGGCAAAAACGACCATGTGTTCATCCAACTAATTTCTCTAGAGAGCTGCTGGTCCTCTTTATTATTTGGGAAATCCTATCTTGTGGAAATTCCATTTTTGGAAAGCTATTAGAACTTTTTCTTAGCATTTCTTGATATTGAAATGAAACTGCCATGTAAATGCTTTGGCCAGATTTTCCTAAGTAGAATAAGAAAACCCAAAGAACATACACGCTGACGGGAAAGCTCACTATGTCAGGGCAAAGTCAAGACGCCAGACACAACCTCCCACATAGTACAATTACAACTATGAATTAACTAGAAAGCAAGCAGCTACCGCACAAGGTGCCTGTACACACACTCTCACACACACACACACATATGCACAAACAGGTGAGGACGGGCTCCAAAATGCTCACAAGGATTGGCTTCAGGTGGCCACAGGATTTGTGACTTTTTTCCTGCTTTTCTCTATTTTCTGATTTACTTATAAAGAGCATAAATTACTTTTTAAAAGCAAAAAAGTAAAGCTATATACAGTACAATTCAACAATAATAATAATCTGAGAGGTTTCTGTGTGTCATTCACTATGTGAAGGGGTCTAGATCTGCGGCCTGGGCTCTGAACTTCCTCGCCACACTGGTCAAGGGGCGAGAATGCCCGGGCTGGCTGAGAAGTCCCTCTACCCAAGCTCCACAGTCCTGACCCAGCTGCACTGAGCCCTGCCGGAGGCAGCCACATCAAGTGACTTCCCTTTGGGGGGACCCGACAGGTCCTCATCCGTCTGGTGCCCCGCGCGGCAGGTGTGGGATGGTTTCCCAGCAATGAAACAATAAAGGTGTACAACAACGGGTTTCATCACCCATAGGGACTCACTCTTTCACTGACAACCCGAGGCAGAGCTGGCAGAAGAGTGGGTTCTCAGCCAAAGCCAAGCTTCCTTGCTCCTGGGCATGGTTCCAGCTGCTGGGATGGAATTATCAGCCCCATTCACAGCCGATCAGGTGCGGCTTCACTGCCTCATGCCTAACGAGGTGCGGACTGCAGCTGGCTGGACACAGGCCTGTGCTGCTCCACCATCTCCCCACCTACTCAGGCGCTTCGCTGACCTGGTGACGGAGGTCTCTGCCCTGCCACAAAGTCACCAGGCCGGCATCAGTTGCAGGTTCAAAATATACATAGTGCCCAAGTTATTCCAATGCCCCCGGGATGGTGAAGTTTAACAAAAAAATCACAGGGCCATGAGGGATACTAAAACTGGTTTATTTTAAACTTAGAGCAACATAAAATTCTCCTATTTTAAAAAATGCTAACTTACTTCAAAGTGTACACTATGAGATCCAAAAAGGTCCAAAGTCTGCTATTATTGTTATCATTATTTCAGGTAACACTCCACCTGACAGTTAACACCTGCGTTGTGGTGGTCACTTCTCAAAACATGTTTAAAAGGGGATGGGGACATACAGAATTTGAGGAAGGACACCCAAATCTCAGGCCCAAATCTGGCAGCGCAATTTAAATGAGCAGACTGGACAGATGAATGCTCCATCTTCTTCCCACTCTAAAATCCATCTACTTCTAATTTATGTTTATCCTCAAATACACCTGTGGTCCAGGTAGGGCAGGCAGCTCCATGGCAGAGAGGCAGGAGTAGAGGCTCAGAGGTGGGGGATGTGCCCACGGTCACACACTTTGGCCAAGAAGAGAAGGGACAAAGATCTGAGCCCCAGATTCTCAGGCCAGGGTTCTGTCCACCACAGCTGGCTCTTTCCACCTCACATTTATATCTCACTTGCTTGCTGACTTCTCTTTTACCTTACAAATATTATGTAAGCAATACATACTAAAATGTAGGGAAATTATAAAAGGCAGATAAGCAAAAAGACAAAATCCTAAAGATCACTTATCCCACCACTGAGTGACAACCATGTCACATTCTGGTCTATCGATTCTGAATGGCTTCTACTCCCTGGATATTTACAGGGCATCATTGAGTCCTGGGCACGGGGGTTAGAGAGGGAGACAGGACGGACTGATGTCATCCTTGTCCTCAGAGCACAAACAGGCCATCATCTGACGCAAGCCGGAATCATACCTTACATGCTGCTTCCCAACCAGCTTGTCGCCCCTACTAATGCCATGACCTCAACAGACAGGTCTGCATCCTTATCATAGTGCTCTAAGCATTCCATCTCATGGATGTATCACAACTTGTTTAACAATTCTCATACGGTATGACACTGGGAGCAAGATAAACAGCCGCGAAGGAGCGCCTCTCCCTGGCACCTGTCTGCATATCTCCCTATGACAAGTTCCCAGGACTAGAACGGATCAAACAATAAATACCTTATTAGAAAGCTTCTGATACAAACTGCCAAATACATTCAAAAAGGATGGGTGAATTTACAATCCTACCCGGAGACTAAGAACATTCATTTGTTACTTCCCGTCACCCAGGGTCCCACAATACTTTGAAATCTCTACTAATTTCATCAATTTAAAAAACTGTATCATCATTTACTTTAATATTCCTTCTTCACATATGAACCTCTCAGGACACGTATTTCAGCATTGTTTGCAACAGCAAAAACTTGAAACAACATTCAATCAATTGGGGGATGGTTTAATAAATTAGACTATTTCATAATATTTAACATTGTGCAGTTTTACAAAGAATGAAATAGATCCAAACACATTGTCTTGGAAAGGTGAGCCCGACAAATTGCTGGGGTGAAAAACAAATTATAAAATAACATAATGGTAAAGCTATGTGCATATATTTGTATTTATGCATAAACGATAAAAGAATATGGAAGGATAAATATTAAATTTTCACTAGTTAACCATGAGAAGATTTTTTTGAGTGATGGTGGTAAGTGGGACTACTATTTTACTTTACAATTTCCCTGTTTAATTACTGTTAAACTTCAAACGCCTAGAATTTAAATGTTTTTGGGGATACAGATAAAATAAGATTTGAGTCTTTGGTGATGGTATGGGGGGGGGGTCATTACACTATTCTACTTTGGAATAGGTTTGAAATTATCCATGAGAAAAGTAAACAAAAAATAAGTTTTTTCAAGAAAAAAATCAGTTCTCATTGAGGACCAATGCCTGTGTTAGAAATGTTGCTACATTCACCTCCTCTGAGAACCTGTCTCTAAATGCCACCTGTATTGGAGCGACTTAGGAACCTATGTGTACAAGCTGATCCACCACCAGTACCTGCCCTGCTAAGGGGACGAGTATGCATTGTGATAACTGGGGAGGAGGACCCTTTCTATACACTAACTGGCTATCTGTATTTCCTTTTTTTTGTTACATGGTTGTTCTTATCATATCCTTCAACCATTACTCCACTGGAACTCTCTCTCCTTTATATTAATTAATGAAACTCTATGAATTGGGAACATCAGCCTTTCTTGTGAAATTAGTTGTAAATATTTTCCCAGATTCACTTATAATTTAGTTTCAGTGGTTTTTGATGTGAGTTTCAAATACATCAGAAATAACATCCATCAATCTTTCTCTCTTCAATATCAGAAGATCTTCCCTGTCTTATTAAATGTTTATGTAGGTTTTCTTCTAGCACTTTTATGGTTTTATTTTCTATATTTAAGTCTTTAATTTAATTGAAATGCAATTTGACATAAACTAGAAATCTAACTTTTTCCAAATAATTTTTCCTACACAATTCTTCCATTCCTCATTGATTTCAAATATGACTGCCATCAGATACTAAACGTGAATTCTTTTCTTGGTTCTATTTCTGTCCCTCCTGTTCTGCTCTACCAATGCCTAGCCTGTCCCAGGACCACAGTATTGTTACTAAGCTTTGGAGCCTATTTTCATTCTTGTAAGGGCGAGTCACCATTCCCTTCTCCCTAGTCTTTCTGGTATTGATTCATATTATTTTATTTTCTTGTCTTATGCATTGGTTAGCACATCCAGAATGACTTTAAATGATACCAGTGATAAACATGTATTATCTTAAATCAGTTTCTGATTTCAATAGGCAGGCCTGATTTAAGTTTTTCATCATTAAAGTATGAGGCATTTAAAAATGTCAGTCATGAAAGATCCTTTTTATTGGAGGAAGATTAGCCCTGAGCTAACATCTGCTGCCAATCCTCCCCTTTTTGCTGAGGAAGACTGGCCCTGAGCTAACATCCATGCCCATCTTCCTCTCCTTTATATGTGCGACGCCTACCACAGCATGGCTTGCCAAGCGGTGCCATGTCTGCACCCAGGATCCAAACCAGCAAACCCTGGGCCACCGAAGCAGAATGTGCGAACCTAACTGCTGTGCCACCAGGCCGGCCCCATGAAAGATCCTTTTATTCCCACATTGCTAACAGTTTGCAGTAGGCATCTAGGTTATATTTGACTGATTTTTTTTAATTGTTATCATGATTTTTATTAATAAAATCCACTACTGACCCATAATGGATTTTATCAGTAAATTTTCTAATATTTAATCATCCTTGAGTTCTTGAAATCACACATAATGCCTTGTTCTTTTATTATATTATCCATAGCAGCATATTCCCAAACCACGTTCCAAGGACCATTCTTCCCAGATACGTTTACAAACGTGGCACTAAAAGAATAAGCGTGTGCAGAGCTGGATACTAAAGCCCTTTTCTGAAAAGAGTCTTCTGCACACTAGCATTTTAACAGATTGCAAGGAGCCTCACAGTAGAGAAGCATGCTGAGCTTTATTAAGCACGCTGCTACCTGAACACATATGAACTCGGCTCAGGGTTTTACACAACCCCGGTAAGGAAACAGTGGATCCATGGTCTCCCTTTTGTATTAGTTCTGTTAGGAAATGTCACTGAGATAAAATTGACTGGGAAGTTTCCCTTCTTTCTCAAAGCTCCAGAACAGTTTAAACAGTGTAGGAGTTCTCTCTTCCTTGAAGATATAATACACTCAACTGTATAA